TGCAATTTCCCACTGGACAGGGATGCAAGCGAGTTAGTGAGCTGGAAGATGCATCTCATTCCCCAAAGGATGAGTCATTCCTCAAAGCCAGCCATAGTTTATTGGCAGAGTTTATTGACAGAGTGCAGAGTTGCAGGACTATAAAGAGGTCTCAGCCAGGAGGCAGCAGTGCCTGGGAATGCTCATGTGCTGGGGTCAGGCAGGGAACAGGGTGGTGGGATAAGCTGGAGGTCCCCATGGCCATCAGGGCCTCACACAGTTGTAGGTGGTGTTTCCCCAGAGGAAGGCAGGGGGTGAGGACTGGAGCCACTGCAGGGTGACTGCGCTCTGCTTGCAGACCCATCTGAGAGCTTCAGTGCATGGACCACTTGACAGTCCCAAGCCTGACACCCTGCCGCAGACCTGGTAAGAGCTGGCGTAGCGCTGGGTTGGGAAGGTCCTGCAGGGAGAGAGCAGGCTGAGATGGGATGGGCAGGAGGAACTGGGATCATCCCATCAGCAACTCTTCCAGTCAGGGGCCAGACACTGCATAGAGATGCTGTGGGGACAAAGCTCACTCTCCTCATGGAGCACAGTCCCCTGCCACCCTGCTCCCAATTAGGCCACATGCTCTGATGCTCCCATTCCCATTATGCACACAGCACTGCTAGGTCCCTCCTGGTAGGGCTCCGAACTAACTGCACTAACCATAACCTAGGAACCAGCTTTCAGGGGATACCCCACAGGCTCTCACCCAGGCAGGCTGGGCAGCAGGGTCAGGCTTCTGCAATTTTCCCTTCTCTAAAATGCCCTAGTGCAGCCATGGGAAGACAAGAGGTAGCCAAACTATGAAGCACATCCCTGCATGCCAGTGGACAGCCTGTCCCTCTGTCACCTTCCCAAGCCCTGATACTGAATCCTCAGCAGGTCTGGTTTGGGACAAGCTGATAGCCTCACCCCTTCAGTGTGGTGCCATCCAGCCACTTCCAGTCAGACCTGAAGTCATCCTTCTTCAGTCCCACGTGGAAGACCTCCATGTTGGCTG